ATACTGTAACGTCATTCAGCCTCGTCATCAACTGTTCCCTGGAGTCCTCCAAAGAGTACGTCTCGGGGCGCTTGACGAGTGCATGCTCCAACTGTGATTTCAGACTTTGGACCATCTCCTCCTCATTGAACTTCTCGATAGATGTAGAAGATTCTATGCCTCTGATCTGTTGCTGATAAACTGATATCTGTTGTGAAGCCTCACGGTGTATCTGATTTGCACGTATAGCTGATTCCTGCGCGGCCGACTTCTCGCTTGCCATGTAGGATTTCATCAATGCAATCTCCCGCTTCTGCTCCATGATAGTTCCTTCAGCTTGCCTCATCTGTTGCATTATAATATTCGACTCCATGTCTTTCTTCTCCCCGTACTGAAATGCGTTCATTTCCACCTTGCGCATCTGTTGGGCTTCTTCCTCAAACTTGCGCCATGCCTCAGCCATGTGGTGTTGGTGGTGACTCACTAGATGTCCCGACTGCTTGCTGGCAATCTCGCATCGTCTTTCCAGCTCCTGGATCCGGATGGTGCTTCCATAGTCTTCTTGGTTAAGATTCGCCATTGCTGCCGACATTTCATCAAGTGTCTTCTGATATTCCCCGATCTCCACCTCCATCTTATTCTTCTCTTTGATCACGGCGCGAAAATCTGCACTGGTGGGTGATTTTGACCTCCCACCCTTCGATGTCGATCTCACGCCCTTCTGCGACGTCCGTGGCGTCGCAGGCGAAGATGATGATCTTTTCGGTGGGGATTCTCTTTTCTTCGACTCCTGATGAACATCGATCTGCTTCCATGATCTTGTGGGAGTAGATATGTCGCTGAATAGCGCGGAACCTCCGCTCCCAGGTTCATCCTGTGAATCTGCAACCATATCCATCACCGCAGGAAGAGCCATCAATCCATTGGATCCCTCTGAGCTGCTGTTCCCAAAAGTTGCAGTACTTGGGCTCGCCGAAGACGCCATTGTACTGTGTAGGTTATCGTTCCTTTATTGTCCCTGTACCCGCAATAAACCAGCTGTCTCCCAGTCCAGTGTAGAGCTTGTAGTTACGGCTGATAACCTGTCAAGAGACGGCAAGGTGACGTCCCGTGGGACGCTATGCACCGAACCCTCAAGCTGTAATACCAACCACGTAGAAAGGTGTATACGGACGATGCCGTTATAGCCGAACCCGTGTAAACGTTGTAAGGGAAAAGGGATGATAGTTACAACAGTAGTCCTGACGAATGCAGCGCAAGCGGAGTGTTTTCGCTCTCAATGCCGATCACGTAGGTATGCAGTCACACATCAGATCTTGAACCTCAATTGTGTCTTGAGCCAAATGGCGATCAATGGAACTTGGGAAGCAACACCAACAAGGACCTCAGAACAGCTACCCAATTTCGGCACGGGGCCTAGAGGGTTTTAACAAGGGGGAAGCAACCAGCGCCGGCCTGGGCGGCCAGGGGGGGAGGTTGTGGGTGTTGTGGGGGCCGAAGCGGCAGCGGAGGCAGCGGCAGCACTTGCCCTGGCAAAGGCAATGGAGGAGCAGAAAGAAGTGGTGGAGGCGGAGATGATCATTGGGGCGGTCGCGACAGATATCTCTCGAGCGCCTAATGCAGGGGTCAGGTGGCGCACACCCCTGAGCCGGGAGAGACGAGAGCAAGAAGGTGCGAAAGAATGGGAGGAAGAGCTGGTCCACTGGCATGCGAACTTGAAGAAAGTGTGGTGGGAAGAAAAGGAGTTGTTGAGTGGAGAAGGAGTGGAGCAGTGGCAGCTGGAGTGGACCAAGAAGATCGCAAAGGACATTGGAAGGTTGGAAGAGACTCTGAGGAGCCTTGATGGAGAAGAAAGGAGAGTAGTCAAGGCGGTCCAAAGATTAGAGGAGGAGGAGTTCCTGCAGACAAAGACGATTCCGCTGGACACGATCCGAGGTGAATTGGAGTTGTGGAAGGAAGCCATTGCGGAGGAGTATGTGTCGCTCACGGCCGAGACACAGGCGATAAAGCCGTAGCATTGCGGGCTACTCTCCGCAAGGCGGCCTTCGAGCAGTGGAAGGTGGGAACGGTGGACGTGAAGACTGCGTTCCTGCAGGCGCCAAATCAGAGGCAGAAGCTGCTGGTGGTTACCCCGCCCAAGATTTTTGGGCAGGCTGGGGTCACTAAGGAAGGAGAGCGGTGGTTGGTCTTGACGGCGCTGTATGGGCTGAACACAAGCCCGAAGGACTGGGGTTGCCACAGGGACAAGACTATGGCAAGTTTTGGGCGGCGGGTCAATGATGTGGAGTTCAAGATACACCCGCTGGAGGGAAACCTGTGGGCAATCAGGGAGGTGGAGTCCGGGGCCACGGTGGGGAACATCGTGGTGTATGTGGACGATATGTTGGTGGCGGCCAAGAGACTGCAGCAGTGGAAGGCATCTTTCTGCGGAATGGAGATCTGCGAGAAGGAAGGGGGATTCTGGCTGGGGCAGTCGGTGTATATCCGGGACCTGGTGGGAAGATACCCCGAGGTGAAGAGCTTTGATGCGCCGGCGGCGAAGGTGGAGTTGCCCGAGGAGGAAGAAGGAGATAGGACTGCGGATGAGGTTCGGGAGGCGCAGGTAGCTCTAGGGGAGCTGTTGTGGGTCTCGCGTTCGCAGTGGGTCAAGCGTCCAGGATGGTGGCGCGGAATCCGAAGCAGGCGTTGCGGGCGGCGAAGCAGATCCTGGGCTATTTGAAGGAGACGGACGAGGTCGGCATCATCTACAAGAAGGAAATGAAGCCGAGAGAAGGGGAAGCCGAATTCCCGGGGGCCCAGGAGATGGGAACGCTGGAGATTCAGGCGGACGTGAGTTTTGCACCAGGAGGAGGACGGTCCATTCAGGGAGTAATGGTGATGTATGGAGGAGGCATCATTGCGTGGGAGTCCACAAGGCAGGCGTACACCACGATGTCCACGGCAGAGGTGGAGCTCACGGGCTATGTGCAGGCCACGGCTATCGGAGAGGCGGTGTCATCGTTGGTGGAGATGTTGGAGGTGAAGAAGGTTCGGAAGATGATCTTGGGAGACAATCAGCATCATTACGACGCCAGCGTGCGCGTGGAGGTCAAGGCATCTGAAGTGCCGGGCAGGGAAGCTGACGGAGCTCATTGAGGAAGAGGACTGGCGCTTGAGGCACCTTCCGGGAACTCTTTTGGCGGCGGATGGCCTCACGAAGGCGTTGACCAGGACCCAGTTTGAAAAATGCAGGAGAGGAGTGGGCCTGGATACTCTGGAAGAGAGGAAGGTGAAGAAGGTGAGTCCAACGGCATGTTCGGAGCGGCAGGATGGTTGGTGGTTGACAAGCTGAAGGCGGTGATCGGCATGCTCAGCCTGGCGGCAGGGGCAATGGCAGAGGATGTGGTGAACATCGATGAGGAGTCGATCCCGGTGGAGTTGATCCTCACGGTGGTGGCGGTTCTGGCGGTGGTGGTTTGGGAGAAGGCCTGTGGGACAAAGGTGAAGAAAGTAAAAGGACCGGTTGAAGAACCCAGTCAAGAAACGAAAGGACCGCAAAAAGAGGCTCAGGGCCCACCGAAAGAGACGGCGGCAAGCGGCACCGCAGGGGGGACTGAATTTGAAGGGTCCGGACAGGGTTTCCTGGGGGGGAGGACTACCGGCAGTCCAAGAGACCAGGATTTTGGGAGGACGAATGACGGGACAGACGATGGGATTTGGCCCGGGACGGGTGCGCCCTTGCCTAAGCAGGCACCCCGACCGAATAGGTCATGTAGATCCGGGGCAAAGTCCCAGAAGCAAGACTTGGTGGTAGTGTGCCATGTGCGTGATGGTGCCGGGGGCAAGCAACCGGTGAGGGCGCCGAGGTCAGTCTTGGGCACGGAGCGCATGGAGTACTATCGGAGGATGGAGCAGCTCTCGGAGGACAGATGGGCCTTCTTGGCGGCGAGGAATCGGGGAGTTCCTCTGCATGGACTTCAGGGAGCGCTATGGCACGAAGGAGGATGGAACCCTAGGCCTGGGGGAGCTGGTCAAAGAAAAGAAGAAAGAAAAGCGGGGTATGGGCAAGGAGATGAAGGTGATCTACGGCACGATCATGGGGCGGCGGAGGGGCGTCAGCGAGGTTGGTGCCGAGATCGGGCAGCGACAGCTGGACCAATAGTTTTGAGTGGCGCAGCATCCAGTTTGGAGCAGGAGAAGGGCGCGGACAAGAAGTGATGGCATAATAGCCTTTTGGGCGTCCGCAGCCCAGAGTAGCGGGGCCAATAGTGCCAACCGCGAGGTGGATGTAGGACATCCAGGGGGAGTGTGAACCCGTAATTTGCGGGCACATTCGTGGCTCAAGAACAAACAGCGCGGTGCAGCGCACATAGGCCCAAAAGCGAAAGAGATGATGAAACCAAAATGGGGAGGTTGCGCCGCCTACTTTCACTCAACTGTAGCCGGAAAAGGCGAGCGGGCCATGACAAAGGACCCTCAAGCCAATATTTTGGCAGCCCTCCCACCTGCCGGAGGTGCCGCTGGTGAAGTACATCTCGCAGAACATCTCCGAGACCTCCACGGAAGCGGCGGCACTGGCCCACAACCCCACATGGTACGGGTCAAAGCACTCCAAAGAATGGGCTCACTCAAAACTGGTATCAATTCCTCCGCAAAAACCACGACTTAAGAGAGACCTCCAACACCCTGAGAGTATGGCCCTCAGGACCGCCTCGCTGCCTTCCGTCTCTGGCGTCCACTTCACCTGGGGCTTCTTGATGACCTCCTCAAGGCACACCTCAGGAATCGGTTAGAACTAGCTAGGTTTTGCGTAGGAAAACCTCCTGAAGCCTCTTCTCATGACATCCACGATGCTTTGCCGCGGAAATCAAGATGACGACCAGAAACCGCAATCCAATCCCCCTTTAGTTTTGCCCTGTGCAGCCCTGAGAAAGGTGCAGCCAAAGCGGCCCCTCCAGGGAACTCGCTGGGCACGCCACCTTCCGCCGTGTTCCAAAAGTTTCCCTTGTCATGCTTCTTCATCTTGCTTCCATGGCCATGCTTCAACATTCGGATGCACCTTGTCGCGACCAAACAAACGTTTCACCGGTGTTTGGCCTCAAATCAACGCGAGTAGTGAAATTCCTTCTACACTGGAGCCGAGCAGTGATTAAGAAACAAACAGGACAACCCCCACCAGCCGATGTGTTTGGCTGCCTCCCCAGAACCTCCCAAGAACCCTCCAAGAGCCTGCCCGAAAACCACCCCATGCCCGGATTGGCTAAGACCCCGAAGCCTGTCGCTGTTGCTGACAACCGCCCCCATTCGCCTGACCAAAGCATGGGCCAGCGTTTCCCGCAGCTCTCAACCGTGGCGGCCAGCAACAGTGCGCTGTCTTGGTGGCAGATCATCGCGACAGGCTGGGCATCCTCCAAGAGCCTTCAAGTGAGCACCCAAAACCGATTGACTTCTGCATCTACCTCACTGGAACTCCTTACCTGGGATGTTGGAGCCCTTTACTAATTCACTACCAGAAGTTTTGGGTGCTGATCAAACATGTTGAACTTTCCATCTCCCCCGGCCCACACCTGTTACCATACCTTGCCTGACAAGTCAACACAGCTTCTCCTTGTGGCCTGGCTGAACGCACAGCAAGCTTCTCACCAGCATTCAGCTGAATCCTGCTCAAGTGGCCAGACTTCCCGAAGCCTTCCATCCCCTCCCGGCCTCAGCAGCTCTGGGGGCTGCAGCCGAGGGCTGAGATTCAGCACCACCGCCCGGAGCTTGGGGCTGGTGATGGCAAAGTGCGCCACCTCGGAACAAACGGTGTGGAATCCCGGAAGGGGCTACCCGTCCGCAAGGGAACGCCTGAATGCTCAAAGACCCGAAAATCGAGGCTTCCTGCAGAGAATGTCTGTTGGCTCCCTGCTGCCGCGCGGACAAGCCGCAAGCCACGCTGACAAAGTCCCAAACGCATTGAGAAACCACAGTTACCCCCAAACTCAAATCGAAATGACGACCTCCCTGCCCTGCCCGGCGGGCGCCCGGCCAGGTGCTGGGCCGAGTTGGGCATCATCACGCCCACCCGCTGGCCCCTAGAGACCCCAAGCTCCAGCAGCTTTTGGCGAAGGTGGAAGACCCGGGAGGCAAGCTCCGCATAGCTCCAGGAGCTTTCTCCGTCCTCGCAGAACTGGCGTGGCTCGCCCACAACTGAATCCACAGCTCCCTCCAAGATATTGCGCTAATGTCCTTGATGCCTCCCCTCTTATTTGCAACAGTCCTGCACGGCCCCATCCACCTCCGGCGCCGCCAACACAGCCGCTCGCAGGCACTCTGAGATGTCCCAAACACCAGAGCGACGGCAGCTGTCCAAGGCGGTCTTGGCAAATGCACGGGCTTCCTCGCAAGCACACGCGAAATCAAGGCAAGCACGCAGGCCTCGTCTGATGGCTTCTGTCAAGTGCCGTAGTCCCCTCAGAAGCCCCCGCAATGACCAAAGTTTCGCACTCCTCTTGGTTTGGCGGATATGTTGCACACACAACGCGCTGCTACACCTTCGCGGCATGCCACTGCTTCGTTCTACACATTGAACTCCTGTATGGGCTTGCCATACTAAACTATGCCCCTGTCAAAAGCTGCTGTTCATAGGGGATCCCTGAAGTTGACTAGGTACTCCAAAAGGCGACCGTTCCGGCCAAGCTGCACGTCACTGCAATTAGCAAATCTAGGGGGAATGCCAAACACTGTTTATTTCTCACTTTGGCCGTGCCCATCCAAATCCAAAGCCGGAAGGATTGGCTCTCCTTGCTCTGTCTGCCTCCCTGCCTCATCCAACCGGGTCGAGGGCGGCAGTGGCAGCTGCGTAAGAGGCAGGGGCTCCACCGGCAGCAGGGCCACCTGGGCGCTGGGCTCCTGGCCCGTGGCGCCCCGCGCGTAGAAGGAGGGCGCAGCATAGGAGACCATGGCCTGCAACGTTCTTCTAGTGCGTTCTATTGTTTTCGCGTTGTTGTGGTATGTACGCATGGTCTGTCTATACATGTCCGTGCATGCATGTACATGTGTACATGTATGTACGCAACATTGTATGTATGCATGCCTGTATGTAAGTATGCACGTACGTTCGTATGTTCGTAACCTACGTATACAAGCATGTTATGCCCATACAAGTCCGTGCATGCATGCACGTATGCAGGCATGCACGTCTCCAGGTATGATTGGATTTTGAGAAAGAAAAAAAAAAGCACGCATGCATGTATGCATGTGCATGTGTACATGTATGTACGCAACATTGTATGCATGTACGCCTGTAAGTAAGCATGCACATATGCACGCATGATCGCAATGTATGCGTACAAGCATGTTATGCCCATACAAGTGTGTGCAAGCATGCATGTATGTAGGCATGCATGCCTGCATGTAAGTATGCACGTATAGACTTATGTACAAAATGCACGTATACAAGCATATACAAGCTGTGCATGCATGTATCTATGCATGCATGGATGTATGTATGCTGTCTGTCTCATGCATGCATGCATGCATGGATGTAGGCTGGGCCTATACACGTCTGCATGCATGTATGCATTTATGCACGTCTGCATGCATGCATGCGTGAAAAGCGAACCAGCAAGTATGCAAGCATGCCTGCATGCATTTATGCCTGTCTCCTATCTCTGTGAATGCAGGGATGCATGCATGCTATGTTGATGAATACATTCATGCATGCATGTATGTATGTATCCTATGTCTATGAATACATGCATCCAGAAATGCATGTATGCATGCGGGGGGTACGTGCGTGCGTGTGTGCAGGTCTGCATATATGCAGGTCTGCATGTATGCTGGTCTGAATGTATGCAGGTATGCATGCAGGGGAAAATGCATATCTGCATGCATGCATGAATGTTTGCATGTATGAACGTATGCACGTATGTCTATACAGGCCTGTAACCATGTATGCATGCATGCACATCTGCACGCACATCTGCATGCATGCATGGGTGCATGCAGTCAATGCCAGCACAGTATAGACATACATCGGCTCAGCTTCCCACGCCTCAATGAGCACAGGACCCTTGCCGCTAGAGCAATGCGCATAGGCCCACTCTGCCACCTGGCCAGCATTCCAATTGCTGCTCCCCTTTGGGGTCAATGAGTCGGCTGGCCGCACAAATCTGGGATCGCGCCTCCTGGGCCTCCTTGTCGGAGCTCACCCGGCGTGAGGGCAGGCCCATGGAGGTCCCCAGCGCCGCCATATCCATCAGCTCCGGCACGTGGGTGCAGTAGACCTCATTCTGTTGGGCCCGCTGCAGCCCAGAGATCATCCCCAGCTCGCCTGCGCATTTGCCAAGGTAACTTGAAGAGAAAAAGTGAAAGTGCATATGCCAAAGTTTCGAGGCCTTGTACCCTTCCAGGAAAGAGAGGAAAAGGCAAATGCCAAGTGTTCGGTGGCAAGTGGCCATCTCTCAGAATCACGCAAATCACCGGGAGCTGCATGGCAAGGGCCGTCACCATCTCCATGCCAGTCATCAAGAAGGCGCCTCGGAAAGTGGACCACGCCCACCTCATGTGACTCATGTGCTGAGGAGACATCCACGCAATAGCAACCTCGCCCTGAGCCCAATGCCGCAGCAGCAAAACACACAATGTCAGAAGGACAAAGGCAACAAACCCTCTCACAAACGACTCCGGAACAGCGCACGCTCCCTTTCCAAAAAAAGATGTTGTCTTCCAAAACTGGCCTGTGCACTTCCAGTTTGCCGGTGGGGAAGGGGATCTGAAGTTGCAGCAACCTGTCAGCCGAGGCGCCATCACCGACCGTCGCGACAGACACCACGCGCTTGCCTTTGGCGCGTGCGGCCAGTGCCGCCCCGATGGCTGCGGGCACGCAGTAGCCCATCCTGAGCTGCAAATAGGTACTCTCGGCTTCGTCTTGATTCCCCGTTCGACCCCTTCCTGTCTATCCGGATTCTTCGCTCAAAGGGACAACTCCGAAGGCTGCTACCATTCGGCCGTGGTACACTCATCTGTAGCCTAAGCATCCTAGTCGCAAATAGCACATAATTCAGAGGTCGCCACCACGGCCCGATTGCCGACCAAGCAGGGTGGGGCTGATTGTTGCTTCTGCAATCAATTCTGCAAGTGAAACCACTATGATGCCAGGCCATACTACACCTCGGGAACGACGAAAGAAGTAGGAATGGCGGTATGATGCAACTGTACCTCAGATGAGTTGACAACTGCCTCAAGAAATAATCACTAGTGCATCCCTGCATTCAAGCAAAACCTCTTTTTTCCCAGGAAATACATGCGTATCAACGAACCAAAGGCGCAATGGCTTTCTTCATGGCTTCATCTTGGAACGATGCCGGCAAGCTCAACTCCAAACAACGAGCTGGACACGTGCGAATGACCAACAGCAACCAGTTCAAACGCTCCCAATTGAGCACTTTGGAACGCTTCGGAACATTGGGCAACCTGACTAGTACTTGAAGATCTCCACTTCGCTCAGTTGCTGCTCATGTCATTTGCTGAGCGTTGCGAGCCAGCAACACCAAAAAGAAGCCCCCCACACCCCCATGTGTCACGAGCCCAGGTGTCGAAGAGAAGTCCGTGGGCGCGAGGAACCTTCGGACAGGGCCAAGCCCTTTCGCTTCATGGAAATGGACATGTGTCCCTGCTGATTACGCAAAGCCAGGCTTTCAAGTTTGGGGGGAAGCAGCCACCACTGGGTTTTAGTGTGGCTTTTGGATCCTTTGGGTAAGCGCAAAATTGGGCGCTTCGCCTGCGGAAGCCCGCCAGGCGCAGGAACTCTGCAGAGAGGACGGTCCCGTTCCCCGAGTCCGCCACGAACACCGCCTGAGAGGTTTCAGAAGGGATATGTTTGGGCGACCTGAGATTCGACACATGGGTTCCATTCGGATGCTTCATGACTGTCCTATATTGTCCTTTGGTGCAAGTTGAAAACCCTTGGATTGGGACAATGTGGGAGGTGTTTGGCTGGAGTACTTGGAGAACACGGTGGGGGCGGCGTGCGGGAACTGTTTGAACCCCAAGATTCTGTTCAAAAGGGTCTGGTGTTAGCGGTCTGGGCAAACGGCAGGGGAGTCAACTGGCAAAAAGACACCCGGCCGACTGCCTGGCCGGCCAGCCGACGCCGTGCAGTTGGGAAAAACGCTTTGAGATGCCGTGTGTTTCTCACCTCTACGTTCAAATATTCAAATATTAATCCATATCATAACTATGATGTCTCAATCAGAAGCATAAGACCCAAACCCCAAAGCCATGACAGCCCCAGTCGGCCTCCTCAGGAGGCACTGCCTCCTGCAAGGCGCCGTAGAGGCCGAAAGGGGAGCACTGGTGCCTGAGTTGGGCCAACGCGAAAGCAAAGATTCTGGAGACTTGACCAGGCAACGCCCCTTCAGGATGCCAGTTGCTAGACAGAACCAGGGCCTGGGCAGCAAAAGATGTTTGTGAGAAAAGCGAAAGGCACCCCACAACCACACAATCTTCCAAGCTCATTCTCCACTGTTTCTGAACAGTTGTGAGGATATGATATCCTGTGATTCGGGCACGAGCCTGTGCCCAGGCAATGGGTAAGTTGGGGTAAACAAGCCACAAAAAGAAAGGTTCCCCAAAAGCAAACCAATCCCCGGTCCCAAAGATCAGGGTTTCCCACACACCAGAGAACAACAACCAAAGGAAAACAAACCAAACAAGAAAGGGTTAACCCGCAACCTTGGTCGACAACAGGCCGCACGACTGGTCCCTACCAACCTGGCGGCGGCCCGAGGTCTCTTTCTCCCCCGAGATGCCGTCGGTCGACGCAGGGGTTCGGCGACGCCCATTCGAGGCGCGACGGAACCCAAAACTTGAGCCAAACACCACCGGTCAGTCACTACCGCGACATCCCTGGTGATGAAATAAACCATGGCTAATCACACCCCCCTCACGAGGAGCCCGTCATATGACGGGTGGAGCGTGCCATTTACTGATAGGATTTAACTGCTCGCATGCATCCGCAAACAGCTGGACACTACCGCCGTCAGCGGTGGAGCAAACCCACAAAGGCAGTTGCGCGACATCCCGGGCATTAAAATCCCGCCACCACCCCGAATTAATCGGGGTAACGCTGTCCAACATACCTTGTGGAAAAGTCCACATGACGACAATTGGTCACAACTGTTTGCATCAGAAATGCAAGAAGTTTAATTCTTATCAGAAGCCATGAAATAAAAGATAACGTATGTCCATTAGTACCCTCGCCTAACGGCAAGAGGTACTCCTGACCATGCGTACCTGAAAAATGCCTGAATTCCGCAAACCCGGGAGTAACCCCCCATCAGTTTGCTTTCCCTCTCACTCATACTGCTTCCGGATGAGCACGTCCAGCAGCTCAGCAGCGGTGCGGGAGAGACATGACCTCCGCGCCTCAGCGGTCCGGGAGGAACATGACCACCTCCACACCGCGCCGACCATTGGAGAATGGACGCAAGCCTATCGGCCGCAATCCCCGTGACTCAGCCTACCGGCTATCGTCACGTCTCCTCCGGTCACGTCCGCCCCGCGCACGGTCCCTGTCACGATCCCTTTCGGATCTCCTGCGATCATCTCGCCTTCGATCTCGCTCCCGATCGAGTGAATCATCATCACGACGATCACGAGCATCGTCCCTCCTCCTGTCGCGATCATCCTCGCGCCGCGGACGGTACCTGCGCCTCCTCGACTCTCTGGAATCCCTGGTGTCCACGGTCCTAACGGACCTCCGAGAAGGAGTACGGGAAACATCCGATTCCCTATGCCTCCTCCCAGATCGAGAGTTCGTCACGATCTGGTTGAGAGCCTCCAGTGCCGACGCGTCCTCACCATTCCTGATGAAATCCCTGACCTGCTTGTTCAGCACTCTGTTGGTGGAGATCGACAAGAAAGCGTCCACTACCGAACTCTCAGGCAGCACCAGGAAGTGACCCTCCACTGGGCTCGCCGCAGCCCGCTCAGCAGACTGCAGCCGGACCTCCCCGCCTTCAGGCTTCTTTGCCATCGCCTTGGAGGCCGTCAAAGGCGCTACCGCATCCTTTGCCGAAGATCTACCAAGCGCGGAGTGAAGATCATCCCCGCTAGCTTCTCTCGCTGCCGCACCTGGTCTGCTGTCGACGTCGCCAGGCCTCGTGGACGCCTCCCGCTTTGTCGACTCCTTCGCAGCCTCGTCGGGATCCCAACGGGATTTCCTTTCTCTCTTCTGTCCTTCGGCCGACCCGCGGCTACCGCCGGGAGCGTCACCTTCTCCTGTCTTCTCCTTCTTGACCTCAACCTTAGGTTCGGTCTGCTTCGTCTCCTTAGCCACAGCTTTTGGAGCCGGAGCACTCTTCGCCTCAGATGCTGAAGCAGCCTTCCCTTTCGGTTCGGCCTTAGGAACCGGGGTCACTTTAGCCTTGGCACTCGGCCTGGCCCCTTCAACCACCATCTCGGCCCAAGACTTCTTCGGCTGAGCTGCCGCTGTATCAACCTCCATCGGAGCAGGTCCAGCATCATCCTTCGCCTTTGAGACGGATGGGCTACCGCCCTTACCGGATCCTTTACCTGGCACTTCACCTGATTTTGGTGGCGGGCCGGAAGGACTACCGCCCTTACCGCCCTTCTCCCCTTTCTTCCCCTTTCCTTTTCCGCCCTTGGGGACCGGCTCCTGCTTGGGACCAGGACCCGGCGCAGCATGATGCACCGATTGGAGTCCCTCGATGTCCACGTTCAAAGGTTCGGGTTGACGACCGTCAAGAACCGTCCTCACCTTTTCGTCACTAACGTAGACGAACGGGTCACGGAAGGGTGCGGGAGGCTCCGACTGTCCGGCGCTGATCGCCTTCTGCACCTTGGCTATCGCCTCCTTCAACCTCTTCTTCTCATCGTACCCCGTCTCCGATACCATGTACTTCCTGAGCTGCGAAATCAACGCATGACTCTTCAGGATGTCCACGTCCTTTCGATGGGTCGGGTACAATGGGGTCAGATGACCAGCCGCAGAACCAATCACGTATGCCATCGGAATATAGAATGACAAGTACGTGTCATGACGAGCGAACTTCCTAACGGAAGTCGTCATACGCCTACCCCACTGAGCAGCGTGTCTTGGGTTGGCCCGGAAGCTCCGTGACCGACTCAAATCTATCGACTTGGTTGGTCTTGATCAGGTGCTTCGCCACCCACTTCTCCACAAACGCATCCGATGCCGAAATCCCGGACACATAGGAGAATTGGAATAGCACCTTCGCCAGCTCATCCCACGCCGCATCGACACCTCCCTTGTCTTCACCAAGATAAGGGGGAAGTCTGATGCCGCTCTGCACCGTCATCCTTAGATCGGATGCCATCGAATAGGAAATCAAATTCCTCTTGATGACTCCGACCACTTCGGAGGGAATCCTCCTGGGCTTGAACTGCCCCATGGTCCTCACCCACTCAGGCACGAGGTAGCACCTTTCGAAGTCCTTTTCCTCCGCGTTGGGGATAAAGTTCGGGTAAAAGACCGGGAGCGCACACCCGGGACACAAGTGCATCCCATTTGGCATCAACTCTGCGCACCTCAAGCAGAACGTGGCAGTCACATTCAGCCTGATCTCTTCCCGTGATCGCCTGTGCTCTCCCCTAACGGGGGTGAAGTCACCGTAGTCCCATGCCCGATGGTACACTTTCGTGTAATCATCGTACATATACGCCGCCTTCCAAGCCCCCATGTGGATCTCGTTCCTAACGGCAAGAGTCTTCCTTCTCGTCAAAAACACGGGTCCAACCAAGGTCCAGTGCACCCGAAGATCCACCATTACCACCACGTACCTACCGGAGTAGTTCCGCAGCCTGTCCCTGACATACCACGAAGGCGATACCTCGGCATCCGGCGCCATGGCTCCCACAAGTGGGATCAGGCCCTCATCCTGTCTACCATCTCCAATGGTCTCGTACACATCGGGCCTCGTGATCAATATCTCGATCATGGCCTTTCCATTTCGCCTCACCCTTTGGAGCTGAACCGCCTTCCGAAAGTCCGAGAACTTCATGATGATGTATCCCACCATGGGGAGTTCGTTCCAATGCATCTCATACATCAGAGATCCTCCAGGTGCATCTTCTTGAGTATACCTGTTCCTAACGGCACTGTAACTCAAGTCGCGTCCGATCCGCATATGCCTAACGGCAATCAACCTGGTGCTCTCTCTGAGGAGGACGCTATCCCCGTCGTACATGACCATGAGCATCACTTCCACTTGCCCTACCGGGAAAGCTTTGATCATCGGAATGAAGAACTTCCAAGACATCTCAGCGTTCTCCATGCCCGAAACCTCCTTCAGGAACCAGATGGCCTGGTCACTTTTCACCCAGTTACCAGCCTCACGTCCGGCCTCCTTCAGCACACGTTCCTCGAATAACTCCGAGACTCTCCTGGAATTGATGACCAAACCGTCGAAATCGCACGAGAGCAGTCTCATCAACTCCTTCGCCGCCTCCCGTCCTGCGACAGTGCCCACGGTCTCCTCGTAGTTCGGGAGGTACTCGCCCAACCTTGTCTTCGAGGGAACCACAACCTGGCAAGTGACGGCCTCATCAGGGATAACTCCCGTCTCCCTCAACTCTGGACTGATCTCTCGCCTATCGGCAAGATAATCCTTCTTCCCATCCAGTATCACAAGATTATAGGTCATCTTGCTCGCCGCCTCACTAGGCCTGAACTTCCTGCTATCATCCAGCTGGTCAGGAGCGAAGGGTCCACTAGGGGCAGCTGCACTCACCAGAGGCGCTCCTCGCCCAGAGCAGAGGTGCTTCTTGTGAAAGTTCACCATCTGATTCAGCTGCGGCAGTGCGTAGGCACGATCCTCCAATGACGCACTCTTCATCCCAGCCTCAGTCAGAGGAGCCTCAGGCTTGTCATAACTCGCCTTTCCGCCCCATCTCGCCGCGACCAGTTCAGCAGACTTCGCAGTGTCAATCAAATTTCCCGACCACTCAGGCATATTGCTCAACCTCCTAGTCAACGCGTCTACCGACGCAGCCAAGTCTTCGTCCGTCACGGTGTAAGGGTCGACCTTCTCCCTGTCGTCCTGACCCACATCCGGGAGCCTATGGTCCCCGCGGATGGCCTCCATCGCGGTCCTCTCGGCTTCCTCAGCCTCCTCCTGCGTGGCCACAGCTCTAGGAATCAAGAGCGCGACTTCAGCCGGCAACGACTTCTCCATATTGATCGGAGTGTTCTTGGGAAGGATTCTTCGATCATCTCCCTCCCCGCTGTACACGTATTCCTGAGCAGCCTTTCGGTACTCCTCAACGGTAGCCCCTCTGTAGTTGGAGACCTTACTCGGGTCCGCCTTCCCAGCCTCA